CTCAAGACTGCTGCAAATCTAAATGTGATTTCTGTAACACCGGCTAATAGCTGAAGTGTGGTGTAACTCACTGAGGTGATGGTGGTGTCTTTTTCAGCAAGCTCCTGTCTGTGTCTGGCCATCATCTCTTTGATCTCCAGCTCCTTCATGATCTTCTCCTTCTCCAGGTCGGAATACTGCTCCTCCGCAATGGAGCGCGCCAGCTGCTCGGAGTCAGCTTTCGTTAGTGTGATCTCCAACTGGGCCGCAAGAGAATCCCTGAGAATAAGATATGAGAAAAAGGTATACCGAATTTAAACTAACATGTACACAATACATACTTTCAATTTGCAATGTGTTAAAAAAAAATAAACTGGTATTTTGACACAAAAAATATATATATTGACATGTAATGAAAATTGTTTAAATTCTGTCATTTAAATTTTAATAATGAAACTGAACACATTTTGCACACTAGGCTATGGTTTTTCTGCTTGTTATTGAATATATATCTCACCTTTCCTCCTGAAGCTCCTGTAGGTTCTGTTGCATGTCTTTATAGAGTTTATTTTTCTCCTCACACTCTTCCTTCAGCTCCCGCACCTGTGTCTTGTACAGCGTCTACACACAAATGCACAGGCACACACACACACACACACACACATACATACACAGTCATGTTAGACCTTTGAGTGTTTAGGATCACAGAAAATTATCTAATACATGTATAATTATTTCAATGTTTTTGCAAAAACAGAAGAGGTTCTCAATCACAAACTTAAGTTGTGTGTTTGTGAGTAAGGTAATGAATATTCAGTGAGTTCAAATGCATGTGTTGCATACTTGCGCAGTTCCATATTTTGTTTTTCCAGGCTACGTTTGATTTCCAACAGGTGGTTTATCTCCTGTTTGAGCTGTTTCTCTGATGTTCGCAGGGTGCTGAGCTGCTGGTTCAGAATCTTCAGGTCATTCTGAGTCAAAGTGCGTTTCTGAACCTCTTGCTCGATCTTCAGACTCAGATCCTTCACCTAGAGAGAGAGAGAGAGAGAGAGAGAGAAAGCAGGAGAGTCTATTTAACTTTTTTGCAACAACTTTTATTGCGATGGAAAAAACAACAAGTTTTTGTTATATATGATAAACATGCTTCAAGTGAAATGACCGGCTCTGCATGTCAAAAATACACAAGTAAAAAACGACTTTCCATTATAATACAAAGGAACAGGTATATTTACATATTTTTGTGGAAACCATGATGCTTTTTTTCAGGATTCTTTGATGAATAAAAAGTTCAAAAGAACAGCATTTATTTGAAACAGAAATGTTTTGTAACACCATAAATATCTTCTCTATCACTTTTAATCATTTTAATGCATCCCTGGCCTTGCAGAATAAAAGTATTTAAAAAAAAAAAAACATACTGACGCCCAACTGATTTTTTAACAGTAGTGTAAATAAATAAATAAATAAATGCAAAATACAGTTTCATGTCCAGTAAGAGACATTTACAGCCAGTACATTTTCTCAGTTTACTGGCCATCTGCAGTTGTTGCAAAAATACATTTATATCCTCCACGCACCTCTTCTGTGAGTCTCTCCTTGTGTCGTCGCAGTTCCTCTAGTTTCTGCAGTGACTGTTTATAGTCGCAGTCAAGCATGGAGTTCTTCTTCTCCAGTTCTAACACCCTGTTCTCCACACGCAGTTTAGAGGAACGCTCCTCCTGCAGCTTCTGTTCCAGCTCTAGGTGAACACACACACACAGACAGACACGTTAACCAGCCATAAAATCTTTGTTAAATGTTTTAGAAAACCAGCAATTTCTCAATCAAATCTCCTTGAATGTAGCTCTTGACTAAACCACCGACTCTAAATCTAAAACACTATATTCTCCACGTAAACTTTACTGTCAAGCTTCCTGTTTTAATAGGAAATATGGAAACAAAAAAAAAGTTCATTTCAATGGATCTTTAATCTCTTTAAACTCTCATACCCTTCACAGCCCCAGATTTCGCTCCTTCGATGGACTCGCTGATTTTGTTCTTGTCAGCAAGTCGAGCTTTTGTGGCCTTGTGTGCCGCCTCCTCCTGCTCCAAACCCTGCTGCAACATCTTCAGCTTATAGGTCATGTCAATCTGGTTATTGCTCTTCTCCTATTGGGTGCATAAAACGAGGGGGAGGGACATTAGAAGAGCGGTTGGACATAAAATGCAATTAACAGTGAGTAAACCCCAGTAAATCAAGTCTGTAGCTTTCTAATAGCCATTTGTGTACAACATTATTTCAGCTGGGAATGCTGGGAATGATCAACACTGTGCGAGGAAGGCATTAATGACGTTTGAATCCACAACAGTAGCCTATAATGATGTCACAACTGTCTCAACAAGGAAGGAGGGAAATGAGAATGACTTGTTTACCTTTTCCAGGTCTGTAAGCTTCTCCTGAAGTTGCCTCTTCTCCGTCTCAGCTTTAGATAGTGCCTGTCTCACCTGTTTCACTTCCTCCTCCAAACCAGATATGCGTACTGCGGACAAGAGGTGGAATGTGGATGAATATGGTTAAGTGTGAAATTAACACATTCAAAACGGAGGATATGCACTTACCCTGTAGATCAGAGATAGTCTCAGAGCCCTGGGTTTGCTCTCGTTTCTCTGTGTCCAGCGCGGCCTGCAGGCTGATGTTCTCCCTCTCCAGCATGAGTTTGCTGTTCTCTAGCATGCAGCATTTGTCCTGCAGTTCTCTCACGTGAGCCTCCAGCTGCTGCAGCTGTTTTGAGCTCTCTGTTTGAGATTTACGCAGTCGCGCAGCAGCATCAGATTCTGCCCGCAGTAACGCATTTGCCTCATCCAGCTGCCAGAGAGAGAAAGAGAGAGTTTATAATGGGGACATGACACTATGTCTCTAGGATCACTCTGTTACTTGATCACACATGAGAAAAACACATAGCCACGTGTTGCTCCAGGAAGACTGAAATCCTGGGAACTCTACTTTTAAGTAACTGAATGATGCTTTTAACAGATGCTGTATTAATCTGACTTAAGACTATGCGACAAAATGTCACAAGTATAAAATATTCACATAAATGTTTAATTTCCAAACCATTAAAAAAAGTGACAAATAAATATTTAAATATTTATTACATAATACACTTATTTATTATACATATTATATTAATTACAGTTTAAACATTTGGGGTTGTAAGTCTCTTTTGCTCACCCAGGCTGGATTTATTTGATCAAAAATACAGTAAAAACAGTAATAGTGAAAAATTATTACAATTTAAAATAACTTTTCTATTTTAATATTTAAATAACTGTCTTCTGTATTTTAAGATGTAAATTATTCCTGGGATGGCAAAGCTAAAATTTCAGCTTCCATTATTCCAGTCTTCAGTGTCACATGATCACTCAGTTTTTTCAGGATTCTATGTGAACAGAACGTTCAAATACCATTTTTTTAATATTTTTAATATCACGTTATAATTGTCTTTACAGGCACTTTTGATCAATTTAATGCATCCTTGCTGAATAAAAGCATTAATTTCTTAAAAAAAGAAAACTTACTGACCCCCAATTGTTTGAACAGCTATATATATGTATGTATGTGTGTGTGTTTTTCTCTAACCCACAAACCTGTTTCTGCAGGTGGATGTTCTTCTCATTGGAGATGTGCGAGTTCTGGTTTTTCTTCTTCATTTCATCCAGCTGATCCCTCAGACTGTTCACTTCGTTCTCCAGGCAGCGTTTGCGGTCGGCTTCACTCTCTGCCCTGCGATGACTCTCTACGCTCTTGTGCTGTAGGAGAGCTTTCTCTCTCTCCAACTGTCTCAGAGTCGCCTCCAACCCTTTTCTGCTATTTATCTATAAACATATGTGGTAAGATTACTGCATATTCCTGCACACAAATTGCTGAGATCTCAGAGGTGAAACACCCACTCACTTCTTCATCAAGCTCTTTGGTGATCTTCTCTAGGCGGCTACAGTTGCTTCTGTATTTTTGCTCCAGCTCATCCTTGGCCTGCATTTCATTGTTGAGCTGCTCTTCTAGAGAATGAAGTTTCTTCTGGAGCTGAGTGGAAAATAAAGCAATTTAATATGGTATAAATCTCTTAAATATATAAATTACCTAACTAGGGATGCGCCGATCCGATATTCATATCGGGTATCGGCTCCGATAGTGCCATTTTTCTCGGATCGGGTATCGGTCAGAGAGGGCCGATCCAAATCCGAGATTTTTTTTTTTTTTTTTTCTCCCACTGTGTGAATTATTCTGTGTTACTTCTGAAGCCATATGATAGCTTAAAGTCAATACCGAACCCTAGGTATCGGAATCAGTATCGGAGGCGAAAAAGGCGGATCGGAGCATCCCTATACCTAACAAGATCTACATATTAAGCAGAGAGAAAGTGAATACTTACTGCTAAATTGTCCTGTGGGTAATAAAAATAGAAAGAAAGAAACATTTTTTTACAACCAATGCTGCAAGAAGCACTAATCAGTTTAAGTCCAAGTCTCATATTAAGTCTCTAACCACCAGAGACTACTGTATGATGTAAATCCAGTCTCTACAGAGCATAATGCAGTTAAATTAAATGTATAAGCTGACGAAGGTGGGAGTGTATCTGTGTCATACCTCTGTCTTGGATGCTGGGTGATCTTTTTTCATTGCTGAACTGTTAACAGCATTCAACAACCTACACAAAAACACATCAGGTAATCTGTGACGGTAGTTATCAACTGGTTTTGCATCAGGACAACAAGTACAGATCCAACACTGACTGTACCAAGAAATGGTTTATTGTGCAAAAGTGAAAAAAAAATCTGGTCTTACTGGTCTTCTTTAAAGTAGGTGAACCCCACAAATGGCAGCTGATTGCCAATGAAGGCTTTGGATGTGGGAAAGGTCTCTAATTCTCCTTTATCTTCCTCTATCTCATCGAAATTACTGGTGTCTATGTCACTGCTCAGCTCTGGAACCACAGGTGCTGCAGCTGGAGAGAGAAAGGACAAAAAAGGGTAACTGTGCGTTTATAACAGCTGATGTAAACAACACCGATAGTAGAGATAATAACAATAATAATATTGCTCATAAATGTACACTTCTACCTCACAGTCTTGCTTTGTCTTTAGTTGGGTAACACTGGAATACGAATGTATTGAGCACAGTTATTATAGTTTTAGAACTTTTTCTTTTTCATTTTCATTTTGTTTTTTATTTTTTTATATCAGTTTAAATATGCTTGTTTTAATGGGACATAAATAGTTGAGGTGTGCACTAATATTAATACTGAATACGAGTACTAAAAATATTTTCTGCAAAATGTCATAGTTTCTAAAGAGAGATCTTTTGAAAGAACACTTCTTATTCAAAGAATGATATCAATACCCTTGTGAAAAATTACTAAATTAAAAACAAACAAATAAATAAAAAAAGTGTTACAGAAATAATACACTTTCAAACAACATCTAAACTAACTAAATGGAAAGTTTTTGGACATTTAACTGCATGTTAGTTTAAACTAAATGCAATCAGCTGAACTTTTCCAACTCTTCTCAATATTTCTATTGAATAAATATAAATATTTCTATTAGAGCCCGACCGATATATCGTTTTGCCGATATTATCGGCCGATATGAGCCTGTTGCCGATATATCGGTATCGGCAAATATGTCGCCGATATGAAAATTTTTTTTTACAGAAGATATAATGCAGATAAAATGCTTGGCATTGTGTAATTACTTAGTTTGTCCAGCAGAGCACACTCCATTGTTTGCTACTGGCGACCTGGATGAAACGCTTTTGAAGCTTAAGTCTATGGAAAACCATTGAAACTTTGAACGGCCATATCTCCGTAACGGCGCAGCGAATCCGTACCAAATTCGGAGGATCCCTTCAGCTCGAGGAACCCTCTCGAATGCGAATCGAGTGTACGTCTAGAGGCCCGCTTTCGAATGAGACCACCCCCGCGTCGATAGCCCCCCGGGTTCGGGAGTTACAGGTGGTTAAATTGATCGGCACCGACCGATCAAGCGATCCCGGGGAGCTACCAACGCACGGAGGGTGGCGTTCGAGAGGGCTCCTCTAGCTGAAGGGATTCCCCAAATTTGGTGGAGATCCACCGGCGCGTTCGCGAGATAGTGACACCAGTCAACACTTTCACTTCAGTAAGGAGGTCTCTGGTGGTTAAATTGATCGGCACCGACCGATCAAGCGATCCCGGGGAGCTACCAACGCACGGAGGGTGGCGTTCGAGAGGGCTCCTCTAGCTGAAGGGATTCCCCAAATTTGGTGGAGATCCACCGGCGCGTTCGCGAGATAGTGACACCAGTCAACACTTTCACTTCAGTAAGGGCTTGTTCAGGCAGCAGCATTCAAGCATTGTCTTTTTCGACCATAAGTGCCCTGTGAAGTGGACTTCACATGAAATTCCGCCATGATTCCAGTTCCAAATATCGGCCGATATATCGATATCGGCCTTTTTTGAACTCCCTAATATCGGTATCGGTCCCAAAAAAACCCATATCGGTCGGGCTCTAATAGTAGGTTTGTTTATTTTTTCTAGTTGTACCGAAATCGTATCGAACCGTGACCCCCGAACCGAGGTACACATCTGTGTACCATTCCACCCCTAATATATATATATATATATATATATACACACACACACACACAACCATTCAAAAGTTTGGAATCAGTAAGATTTTTAAAGTTTTTTTAAAGAAGTCTCTTATGCTCATCAAGGATGTGTTTATTTGATCAAAAATACAGAAAAAAACTAACATTGCAAAATGTTATTACAATATAAAATAATGGTTTCTATTTTAATATCCTTTAAAATAAAATGTATTCCTATGATGCAGCACTGAATTTCCATCAGCCATTACTCCAGTATAAAGTGTCACATGATCCTTCAGAAATCATTCTAATATGCTGATTTATTATTAGAATTATCAATGTTGGCAACA